TAGGGTTTAGAGTTAGGGTTGGTCCTAACATGAGCTAATATGAATGGGAGAATAGGGAAGAACCGTTGGTGGACCTCTTCTTCAGCCTAATCCTGAGTTTAATTAACAGTTTAATTTCAGAAGCAAGGCATAATTAATTGATTGATCAGATTTGGTCAGTTTATTTTCTAGTAAAAACTATAAGTATTTTCAAAATGGTTTAAGTTAATTATTATTGTCTATGTTTTTATAAAGTTTATTGTGTGATTGTTTTTTGTGTGTTTGTTTCTCCCTGAGTGTTCTTCTGAGTTCGAGTTGCTGATGTAGTTCCATCTCTTATCTGTTATCTTTATCTTTATTTAATTTGCATTTTTATCATTTAATTTTATCTTTCAAACCCCCCCATATCCTTTAGTTTTAGTTTTATAGATTTTAGTTAGTTTTTATTCAATAAAAGTGACAAGTGAACTGATTTTCATAGTCTAAAAAGTATCTTTCTTCGTGGGATCGACCCTTACTTGCCCTATCTATATGTTTTGATGAATATTGAATCATAAAGAGGGTTAAAAGTTAAGGAAATAATAAATTAATTTGTAGGTGCTACGACACGCCTACCAAATTTTGGCGCCGTTGCCGGGGATAGAACTTTTTATGGAATTCAGTTTGCTATGTTTCATAAAAAACAAAAAAATAATAATAAACATGAAAAGCAAAAAAACCTAAAAAACAAAAAAAAACTAAAAACAGTCAAGAGTAACATAAAATGCTAACCTCAAAGCTTTGACAAACAAAAAAAACACTAAAAATGAAATTTACAAAATTTACAATTCAATAAAACTTAAAAAACATTTGAAAAACAATTTTTTTTTGAAAAAAAAATGAAAGTTGGTAATCTGGTATTCCATGTTACCGCTTTGTTTAGTTTATTTCTTCTAGTGTTTATCTTGTTAGTTAATGGGTCTATTCAAAATCTAGCTTAGTGTCTAGGATTATTTGTGTCTTTTTTGGGATAAGTAGTCAGTTTTGCAGTTGTTTTTTAGTCAGTTTATGTCTTTGTACACTAAAGTCATCATTTATTAAGAATTTTAGATGTGTCTGTTGTTAGTGTCTCTGGTTTTAAGTTATAGTCTTTGACTTCACTTAACACTAACTTGGAGTTTAGGATTTAATTTTTTTATCTGACCTTTCTGAATTTTTTTATAACTTTTCTAAGTCTGTATATTAAAAGTAATCTAGAACTAACAAAAAAAATCAGTAGGCCCAAGTAATAAAAATATTCAGAACTTTAAACAACTTATTCTTGCTCTTGTTTTGTCTCTTTTAAATTTTTCCTTGTTGAAGTTCAGGTTTTAAATAGCTAAATAGATGGGTTATTGCTGCACTTATGCGAATTGCCGACAGAAACTTCTTTCCAGAGAGAAAAAAGAACAAAGCTTGCATATTTAAATGCACGACACACGTTCCAGAATTGGAACAAATTGGCAACATGCTGCAGATCTGATTGAATGGGCCAAAGGAATTCATCACGGAGATCTTCATGAACAAACACAGTGAAACATTACTGAGAGGATGGTCGTCAAGTTCCCCCGCAAACAATGCTGCATTTTTAGAGTCTCAAGATCCATAGAAAGAGTTGCATTACTTCAGAGCTAGGTTTGGGTTATGAATGTTATAGCATAAGGATCAATTCTGTTGCATCTCTAAATGTGCACTCCTACTTTCCAGGTAAGTATTCATAGCCATTCTCACCTTGAGTCAGATCGTGTAAAAACTTGTAACTTGTTCAAGTTCAGTTCTTAATGTCCAATGTGATGAATGTTTTTTTTTTCTCTCTTGAAAACGACATACAAAACGTGTGAGCCCTTCAGACCTGTTTTTTTAGTACTCTTGTTATCCTAATGATTGGTTTTTCTAAGTACCCATGGGACAAGTATAGGCAATGTGCTAAGATGATTTCCATATACATCATTACTTGTTCTTACTGGACATGTGGCCTAATCCATTTTTTTGTTCAAGTCATGCTTAATTGAGACAATGATTTCACATTGATTTAACGAGTTGGCTGTCTAAAAAAAATTGAGCGTGATTCCTGTGACCTGTGATTAGGTCTACTTGGTCGTTTTTACTTCTTTTAGTAAATTTCTTCTCCAATAAGACTTAGACTGTAGGGGTTAAACTAGGTACTGGCCAAACCTGTTTTCAACCCTATAATTTTTTTTCTAGAAGAAGCTATCATTTTTTCAACATCTCTTTGCTAAGTAACAATGTTTTCATACTCCTAAACGAATTGAGCAGAATAACTTACACATTTATATGTTAAAGGTAGTTACTGAGTTTGCATTTTCCTAACTTGATAAGCACTAAACCATGGTCTTCAAATTTGACAAAAAACTGCTCAATAGTTACAAAGGCTGAAACCTTATTGAAAAATCTGTTTTGAAATCAACTTGTGAGTTTACACAGGGCATGTTGGATAGTGAAAAAAAAACTGGGGTTAGTTGAGGTGCTAAAAATTGCCATGGGTAAGCCTTCTCTACACTGTGTTAAAAAAAACTTGGGTTAGTTGGAGTTGATTTGCTTTTTAGAGCTTGAGATTGATTTTCTTGTTTGCTACTTTTCAAAGTCTTCATTTGCTCTCAAGAACCTTGGAATCCTACTCAAGCCATGAATCTCTGTTTTAGAATTAAGTTTTCTTTATGGAAGTAAAAAAAAAGGGAATTAAAACATCTCAAGTTTTTCAAAAGGGCAGTCCAATCACTGTACTTCACATATGGAAGATAAAAATGTGTTCAAATTGAGTTGAGAATGAACTGTTGGGGTAAAAAAAGAAATTATCTATTGTCTTGCTTTCTGCTCAGCTTTTTGAAAATCTAATCTTTGACAATTAACATTCTATGCATTGTCAAAAGTATGACTAGAATTTTTTTTCCGACACGGCTCTCTAAACTACTAAAATCCGTATTTGTAAACAATTTTTTCAAGTTCCAAAATTAGAAAAGGGTAACAAAAAACTATTTTAGTAGAGTTGACAAAAATAAACTTATTTTCCAAATACTATTTCTAGAGAACCTAGCTATGTTTTTAGTGTTTGTTATGCTTGTTTGGAAAACTAATTTTTGAGTACACTAAATCAAGTTGTTTTAATGCTTTGACCTTGTGATAATTTAGTTTGATGTACTTTTGAGGAATCACAGGTTATTAGAAGTATAATGTGGATTCTCCATGTTGTCCTGAGCAATAAGGAGTCTAGCCAAAGACATTAAAAGAGGCAGCTTTCTGGGAGGCAACCCAGATATTTAAACTTTTACTTTTATGCATTTTATTTACTTTTTCTTTTCTTTTATTCTCTTCTTTACTTGCATTTTGTCTGTCTTGCATGCTTAATTGTCATATCTTCTGATCCCTTGCCTCTCATTTTGCATCTGTTTTATTGTTTTTCATGTTTCATGTTGTTAATTGTCTCATTAAATATGTGCATTCGTTCATCATTTTTATATCTTTGACATGCATTGAGGACACTGCATGATTTAAGTGTGGGGGGACGCTTCTGCATTTAGTTATGCATATTTTAGGAAAAAAATTTTGTTTGCATGTTTTCATAGACATACTAGGAGCATGAATTGGGTAGAAAAAGAGGTATTTCATGTCAATTTTGTATTTTAGATGCAATTTGGTTAAAATTTAAAATTTTTAAAGTTTTTTAAGAAAACAATTATCTTTCACATAAAAATCTATATAAGAAAAGGAGAGTTTCGAGAAAAATTAGAAATCATTATAGTTTCTTTTAATCTTTTAGCACTCTTAAGTGTTGCAATTTTTGCCTTAAATAGAAATTAAATTTGTAACAAATATGTTTGAATTTCTTTAAAAATGAGTTTGCTACTATAAAATTTAAATCATTTCTTTTAAGTCAAATCTATTTGGAACTTGTTTTTGTTTAATCTTATACCTTTTAATTAGTTAAGTTCAATGTGCACAATTTATTTAGAGATATATGGAGCAGTTTTCTAACTTTTTTTTCCTAAACTGCTATTCAAGTAAAGTTAGTCTTAAGAAAATCTTTTTCTTTTTCTAAATTTTGGTTATTTATATATTATCAAGATGCTGAAAAACTGAATATATATACTAGAACACCATCTTAGGTTGGCATGGGTGGCACGGCACCTTTGTCCCCTTAAGCAACTGATCCCAAAAGGAAGTGATGTTGTGTATGGAGAAAACCTGAGTTGGAAGAGCAAACCCCGTTTTGGGCCGTACGAATCTCGTCCATAACCAGTTTTAAAAAAAAGCCGACGCCATTGAGCCAAAAAGAAAAAAAAAGTGCAATAAAGGGCTAGGTAAAAATAAAAGAATAAAAAATGAATGAAAATATTGTTTGAGCACTCGAGTTGAAACCCTCGGAATACTTCGTTTATTTAGGTCCCGAGCTATCTGGAATGGGCCTGGGGTAGCCTGGTTGAAACTCGCTACACGGGTCAACTCAAACAATTAAAATTAAATATTGAAAGAAACCAATAAAGAAAAGTCTCCAAATTTTGGAAAAGAAAATAAATTTTCTTGAGCTTTTCTTTACTTGATTAATTCTTAGGATTTCTAACTACTTTTTGCTGCTCTGTAGATTTCTTTTAAATTGTTCTCAATGACCTTAGTTAATTCAAAGTTTTGACATTAAATAAAAATGTTTTCTATTTTGCTTTGAAGTGAAAGAACTGTTTTAAAATTTATATTAGTAAATTGATTTTTAAAGGGTTTATTCTATTTGGTACATGATTAATTTCTAGTTAATGTTTCATGCATCACTTTAGATGGTTATGAGATTGAGAAATTGTTTTGAATTCTAATTTCAACAAATCGAAAAAGGTTGTCAATTTCTAGTTTGCACGAGGACGTGCAAAAGTCTAAGTGTGGGGGTATTTGTTAAGTCACAAAATGTCGTATTTTATTCCCCCATTTCTTAGTACTTTTAAGATATTTGATGAGCATTTTATACCTAAATGAGCATATTTTCTAATATTTAGCATTTTAGGCCATTGTTTACATTTTATACATAAAATGCATGATTTTGAGCATATTTATATTTGACAATTATTTTGGAATATTATTTTCAGTGGCATGAAATTTGTAGATAATACATGGGAGTCCAAAAAAGTCAAAGAAGATATTGAAGTTGAATTTTTGGAGCTTAAAAGTTGGCCCAATCCAAGTTTGGCCCAAAGCTATTCCATCTACCAAATAAATTAAGAGAGGAGGAAGAAGAGCAAATAAAAGAAGAAAAAAAGAGAAATCTCCCCGTGAATGAGAAACGCAGGAGAGAAGAGGCGCAGAGTCCTTCCCCAAATCCAACGCAAATTCCAAGAA